TTACCTCTTCACTTAAAATGCCAGAAAGCACACAGCTGCTGCTTGTGGTTGATTTGCATTCAAATGAGACATTTCATGCTTTGTCTATGGCTGCCATTAACTGTAATTGTCATTATCGATTTATTGGTGATCCTTTAGTCTGTAAAATATCTGAGAATTTTCCCATCACAATTCCCCACAGCCCAGGGTGACATCCTCCAATTAGAGCTGCAACTAATGATTGTTTTTATTACTGAACTATCTGACAATTGATTTATCAATAAGTGAATTAACTGTTTTTTTACAGAATGTCAGAGGACAGTAAAATATGCCTGAGGAGCCAAGGTAACGTATTCCTATTGTTTTCCAACCAAAAGGGTTGACTGTAACATTTGAGAAGCTGCAAATGTTTGTCCATATTCCTTGAAAATGACTAAAACAATTATAATTAAAAGAACTGCAATTTTAATTTTCTGTCCATTGACTAATCTGTTAATCAGCAGATCATCTCAGCTCCACTTCAGATGCTAATTATGTCCAAACAAAACAGTCCAAAATTCAAAGCTATAAAATTTAGTAATATAAAATAGGAGCCCCGTCTAGGCAGGAGTGTCGCACCTTTATGCCGCCCCGCTGCTCTGTATTAAGGTAAAGCCACAGAACGTGGGGACAGGGTTGCCTCACCTTCGAGGCAGCATCGGAGCTGGTAACAATACCCAAACAAATTGAAAGCTGGCAAGACGAGATCATGGGCATCACAGACGTGACATTTTGACAGTGTATGATAGTGTGTTATGCATGCAACTCATGGCGGGAGATTTAAAAAGTAGCTACTAGCAGTTAGCGGCTAACTCAGAAAAGACGAACAGCTGCCGAAAACTTCCGCAAATAGGGAAAACAATGAGGTCCAGGAGCTCCTAACCATCCAAGCAGAGGACAAGATCAGTCGCCATATAACAGTCAGCAGCAGGACCATAAATGCTTGTTATTGCCATGTTATGCCATTGTTATTGTTTATAAAATGTCACACAAAAGGCCAGCGCTGTTGTGTTACGTCACGCCCATCATGCCTCTTTTGCTTCCGCAATGCCGCCATGCTGTTTAGAACCACACACTGGAGCAATATGATGCTGCCGTTGTTTGTTCTGTGTAAAAATGTAGACGCCGCATAAATAAATGAGTTATAGTGGCCCTATATCGCCATCTCTGCGTTTAAACGGCTAGAGGGAGGCAGCACATTTGTGTCACATTTGAGACACTGGAACCAGAGAACGTTTGGTATTTCAGCTTAATAAACACAAAACACTGTTGCTGATTACTTTCATGATTAAACTGCTCTGCGTTACCAACCACTGACTCTTTCTTCAGAGAGACATGGAGGGACTCACTTATACTTTCTCCCCAGAATATTTTGTATACGTCATATTTTGTTTTGAGTGCTGAGTATTTGCAGGCGATTCTCACCACAAGGCGCAGCCACAAGACTACAGAAAACTACAATCATGGTGTCTTGGTGGCCTGTTTGAAGGCTTCAGTAGTCATTTTTTAAATGTCACATCGTTCATACTTTATGTTTTTACTGACTTTCACATGTTGCACAGTGATTCCTTATTTAAAATCCATCCTTAGCCTTTCTCCAGCAGCTACCGGCTGTAAGAGTATTTCCTGGAGACTTTTACAACCGGAGGAGACGCTGTCTTGTGACTTTAAGTAAGCAGATAACAGGGCACAAACCGAGGCTTGTCTTAGCTGCTGTAAGCTCCTGTTGCAGCGTAGAGAGATCTCTCAGTCTGCTGCAGTTCTGCTGCTGACAAGCAGCTAATGAGCTTAAAGAAGTGAGTAAGTAGTCAGCTGCCACCCTGCCAGCAGCTACGATCTTGGGTTGATCTCTCATCACACACTTGAATGAGCCTAAGAGGTCAAAAAAAGCAATCTGGTGCCCTGAATACCACAAGTTCGACTACAGACAAGCCTGGGGCCGATTTCTCACTGTGAGTCTGAGTGAGTAAATAATGAGTAATCCTCCACCTTTCCCAAACAACTACCTGTGGACTGAGAGCAAGATAAACAAATCTAATAGCTGCTGGGAAACTACTGACTGAAGGAGGAAAGTTAACAGGTCTAATCAGAGTGTGAACTCATGAGTGAGTGTGACCAACACCAAACTGCCATCACTCTTCAGCTTGGTTCGTTTATAAATGAGGACAGTGGGGGGGGCAGATGATTTGTCAATTAAATGCTTGGTAAACGGACATGAAATTAATAAACCGTTTTGAGAGTTTTGTAATCTTATCAGCCTTTAATCAATCCAAAAATGTTACCGGTTGCAGCTTCTCTAATGTGAAGATTTTCTGCTTTTCTCTGTTTGATATTATCATAATAAGAATATCTTTAGATTTTGGATTGTTGGTCAAACAGAACAAGACATTTGAAGACATCACCTTCACTTTTTGAAACAAATATATTGACTAAATTACTAATGGATAAGTTGCCACCCTACAGAAGGAGAGATGGGGGTTGGCTGGCAAATTTTTAGCTCTTTTACATATTTATCTGGCTCCTCTCGAGATGAGAGTCGAGAGTCGCCCGGCTGGCCTGGGAACACCTCAGGGTTCCCTCGGAAGAGCTGACGGAGGTGGCTGGGGAGAGGACTGTCTGGGCTTCTCTGCTGAGGCTGCTGCCCCCGCGACCCGGACCCAGATAAGCAGAGGACGACGAGACGAGACGAGACATATTTATCTGGCGTAACTTATGTTATAATATCCTAATGGGCAGCGAATGAAAGGTTAAGGTCTCAGCTGTATAAATAAGTTTCAACGTACACAAATGTTTTCTAACATTAGGTAATTTGTGATTAAAATCTTGTTGTGCAATTTTGCCAATCAGCGGGCGCACTGTTGAAATGCTATAGATACAAAAAATTAAGGACAGAAACTGTATTAACATTTAATTCAAACAAGAAGCAGAAAACATGAACATTTAATAGAGTATCTGTTCATTTTTAGAAGCAAACAACACTTTCAGCAGTAAATCTGAAATCTGTAGGGATGTCTAGTTACTTTGCCATTGACCATTCAAAATAATAATAAACAATATAAACACTGCTTTTAATCTTTAAAAATGGTTTTAAGAGAGAGCTAGTTATTTTACACTTGATTAGCACATATCCAAACCAACCCCAAAATCAGCGCGCCAGCCAACCTCACTCACATCTTTCAAATCACATATCAAAATGTAGAAAATTCTCATGTCTGACTAGAAGAAAACATTTTTGATACCACTATACAGTTATGTCAGTGATTTTTAGATGTAAACTAATAAAAAAAAATTAAAATTTAACAAAGTAGATGAGTGCAGGTGGAGAAAGCAAACATGTTGATGTTACATTTATGTTCCTGTGACTTTTAGCTGTGTGTCAACCTACCCTGGTCTCCCCTAAATGTCTGGTGAAATCCTTGTTTGTTCTGCAACAAATAAATAAGTTTCACTGTAATTTCCACAGAAAAATAAAGCATTGTTTAAGAGTTAAACAAACACAACATGTTCCTTGCTGAAAATTGTCATCACATGAAGATACAAAACGCATTTCACTGGCACTGGCACCACAAGCAGAAGGAGAGTTTTATCTTTTCTGATCATCTTCTGGTAATGTTGCCTAAACATGTCAGGACAGAACTCACTGCCCCCAAAAACCACAGTAACTACCAATCGTGGTGCTGCCCCGGGCTGCAGTGGGAGGCCACTGACAACCTTTTCCCAGGGGAAAAACGAGAGTCCCTGCAGCAGACAAAATGGATATAATCTGTTAAAGTGTCCGCCTCACTTAACGTTAGCCACTTTAACTCCAAACTGCGTTAATAATCTGCTAATTTACTGTGTTGCAGCTCACTGTCAAGTCACTGACCACAAACTGAGCAAGACTTAAAGCTTATCTGTCACAGCTGTGTCTTGTGGTAAATTCGGCTGGTAAGTATTCCTCAAAGCAACATTTATTCCAGTGTTATCCACTTGTTTTTCTGTTCATCTACATTATGCGGTCCCAACTCGATGTATAACGTCTCAGAGCAACTTAACCCAGGTTAAACCCACACACACACCGTCAATAACCAGTTCACTCAGCTGTCACACAGACATTAGAGCCGACTGCTGTGCAACGTTACAGGCTATCATTACACAAAACGTTGTAATTACCGGTAATACACAAAGCCAGAAATCAACCAGCGAAAGGCTCGGTGACGGTTATCTGAGCTAACATCTCGCTGAGGCTACAGATGCTAGCAGATGAACGTTAGCTGATGGTTAGCTGCTTTAAGGTTAGCTAAAATGGTTTTAAAGGTGACCAGGTTACCGTGCTGTTTAATACTTTTAATAGTGATGTGTGGTTCTGAACTGTTAACGCCAATTTTGTGGCCAATAAGAGTTTAGTTAGCCGCTAGCTAGTCCAGATGCACGTCGTCTTGTGCCTTCACTCCGAACTGCCTTGATAATCTGCTGGTTTATAGTGGTGCAGCTCTCTGTCAAGTCACTGACAACAAACTGAGACACATTTGCAGATAATGTGTAACAACTTTGTCTTCAAGTGAGTTCGGCTCAGATGTGATCCACACAGCACTATTTATTTCAGTGCCATGCGGTTATTTTTCTATTTATCTACACTACGCCGTCCCAATCCGAAGCTGTTAGCAGAGACGTTAAAGACAAGAAATATGAGGCAACACGATTCACAAACTTGAAAATTGTAAAAACGGTGATGAACACTCGGAGTATTGCATCATGCCGAACTGAAGAGTGGACCATGAGGACTCTGAATTTGTCTTTTAGTTTGGTCTACAGTGTGTGACACACTGAAGATTGTATCATAGGTTATAAATTGCTGTTTTTTTGACCGGCGTTTAGCGTGACGTTCTCTCAATACGGGGCTAGCGGCTGGCTAACGATGGCAGCTAACGTTAGCTCGCTTGTTCAGCAGGCACACCCTGCTTCTTTCCCTGAAACCCCAGCACCCTGTCCCGCTGATGTACCTCTTTCTTGTCCTGGAGACACTCCAGCACCGCCAGGTTGTTGTTCCAGGAATGTTTGGGGCAAAGCCGGGTCAGGTCCTCCCTGCACACCCCCTCCTCAGACAACTTCCAGCCGGTAGAGCGCCTCCGAGGCAGCGAGGCCCCAGCGCCCAGGTTCCTCTCAGCGGCTCCCGGGTTCCCCGCAGCCGGCCCCGGACCTCCGGCGGCATTCTGTGGGTTATCGACATTACCTGCAAGTTTGGCAATAACGTTGTTTTCTCCTTGAATTGGATGCAAAGACGACAAGATGCACATCAAAAGCAGGAGCAGAGGAACACGTATACAGTCCGCCATCTTCACAGAGCCAGTCAGCCTGCTGCTGCATTCAGGAGCTGTGGGAAATATGGGCACTAGGAGTAAAGTTGCAGACGCTTTTTTTTCTTTTTAGGATGGCACTGGACAGCTCATGAATAATTAATGAGCGCGTGTGGGTTCATCCAATCACATAACCACCATCGAAACGTCTTCTTCCGGCATTCCTTATGATTTCAGTGGCAGATGAACACATTTACAAAGTGCTAAACATGATGTCCAAATATTTATACTGCAGAACTTTGACAACAAGTACTGGAGAAAAAAAAGGTTCTGCTTGTACAGAAAGGAGAATGATAGACAGGTCACACCGCCTTGACCTGGATTATTTAGGCCTTTGTGGCAATACGTTTTCCTTTCTTTTTTTCAGGGTTTAGTGTCATTTGAAAATTTTCCATAGCATTTTTTTTAAACCTTTATTTTAGGATCCCATCCATTCATCCCCTTCCCTTCGCTTATCCAAGGCCGGGTCGCGGGGGCAGCAGGCCAAGCAAAGCACCCCAGACGTCCCTCTCCCCAGCAACACCTTCCAGCTCCTCCTGGAGGACCCCGAGGTGTTCCCAGACCAGATGAGAAACACCTCCAACAGGAGGCGCCCAGCAGGATCCTGATCAGATGTTGAACCACCTCGACTGATCCCTTTGGACATGAAGGAGCAGCGGCTCTACTCTGAGCTCCCTCCTGATGTCCGAGCCCCTCCCCCTATCTCTAAGGCTGAGCCCAGACACCCTACAGAGGAAATGGACCAGTAAATCAAAAGCTTTGCTTTCCAGCTCAGCTCCCTCTTCACCACGATGGTCCAGCGCAGCGCCTGCATCACTGCATATGCTGCACCAAACCACCGATCCATCTCACGCTCCATTCTACCCTCACTGTGAACAAGACCCTGAGATACTTGAACTCCCTCACTTGAGGCAGTAACTCTCTCCCAACCTGTTTCCTGGGGAGGCTGTTTTAGGATTTCCAAGATAAAACAAACGCTCAGTTCATCATTTTAACAACTGTCACAAATATCTTCACAGGTGGAAAAATAAAAAAGAACTCTTAGGACTACAACATTACGGCTAAGTAAAATACATATGCACAGTGATAGAGATAAACTGCTACCCAGTAAAACCATTAAGCCCCGTCTCCACCAAACCCTTTCAGTCCAGTTCCTTTGGAACCAGCAGTAAGCCTTCAGACATGGTACCTAGACCCTCGGTTTGTTCAGACAGTCCTCTTAAATGTGGGCGGGGTTGTTGTCACTCACTGCTCCGTCCAGCACTCGCTGTATTTCCTCATCAGCGGTGACACAGATGGAAGTCTGCACCTGGTTTATCGTCCACAGAACGAGGCTGCACGCCCACATTTTCACAACAAAATAGAACAGGCTGCAGTGAGAGTCTCTCTCCATGGGATATTTAAAAATAGCAGCTTTGTGCATTTAGTCCTTCTCAGGCAAGCTCAGGGGTTTAGTGTTGCTGTAGCCCACAGGAAGTGAGGATTAGAATATATGACCTTCACATAATCTGCTCCAAATTAATCTATATTTTTAAAGTCATTACTAAAAGTGTGTGTCATATAAAAACTAAAGTGATGTTCAAAGTTGTCACAGTGAAATTTAAGGTGTGCTGATGGATTCACGTCATCAACTCATGCATTGAGTAACATTACAAGTTAACGTTCCACCTTAAAAGTTGCCGGCAGTCTGCCCAGTGAATGAAGTTATTTTTTCTCAGACTCCAGCTGCTGTGAGAGGCAGCAAAACATCCTTTCATTTTATAGTTACAGTTTACTAATAAAACTCTCCACAGTGTGAACAGTGGTTACATGAGCCTCCACATGTACCATCCACAACTTTTCACAGTGGAAACGGATAAAAGCAATAACAGATAAAATGACTGTACCGTACTGCTCAGTGGAAATGGGGCTTATATGTTGCATGTGCTACGCTAAATCAGTCTGTGAGCAGAATGAAATGACAGCAGCACACATGCAAGCTGCACAGCGCTGCCGATTGTGTCAGGTGAGAGTTTGTTTGCTAGTTTGTGTGTGAGGTGGATCTTGGTAGTTGTAGTCTAATGTGACACTGACAAAGCCTCCATGTTGATCCACTGTTCAGGTCTGACACAACACAGTCTGACATGCAGCTACAACAGGTTGAGTATCAGGGAGGCTGCAGCTCCACCTGAGCGCCCCAGCCCCATCTTCATGATCACTATCATTTGCTCATTAAAACCTGCTCCCAGACAGATGTCAACTAGTAGAAACATTTTTCCATTACATTACAACAAAGGTTCAGACGTCTAAATTATGGGTTGAGGTGACAGTCATTGAATCTTGGCATAAATAATAAGAGCTGCGTCTACAGCAGCAGTAATCATCCTGTAACTGCCTGTCTGTTTATTATTATATATTGTCCTGTTTCGACTGTGTATGACATATCAGGCTTTTTATTTTGTAAGTGTAAACCTTATGTTACAGTAAAAGAGCATCTCTCACCTGAATTAAATCCCAAATTTATCCACTATTAAAAACACTAAGAGCTTCATTTGTTCAGATTCCTTCAACAGAAAACAGCCCAGATGTTCAGAGTGATGAACTGTCTCCGTAATCGTGCAGATGTTTGCAGCTATTTAACTCTTCTGTGCTAATTATGTGTTGCGGTGTTGTTTCAGCCAGCTGGTGTTGTGTCTGTTAGCAGGTACGCCAGAGGTCACATGACTCTGTGCCCTCGCTCTGATTGGCTGTTTAGAGCTTCTGCAACCAGAGGACAAAGAGCCCGAACCAGGTCAGACAGGCTTCTGGGTCAGGGCTGATATTAGCATGTCAATGGAGACGCAGTGTGAAGCGGCTGGGATGAGAGTCAGCACCTCTTAATCTGAGGCCATGGTCCTCTGACAGAAACTTCAAGTATCTTTCTCACGAGTGAGGGTAGAATGGAGATGGATCGGTGGTTTGGCGCGGCTTCTGCAGTGATGCAGGCACTGCACCGGACAGTCGTGGTGAAGAGGGAGCTGAGCTGGAAGGCAAAGCTTTTGATTTACTGGTCCATTTCCTCTGTAGGGTGTCTGGGCTCAGCCTTAGAGATAGGGGGAGGAGTCAGACATCTGGAGGGAGCTCTGAGTAGAGCCTCTGCTCCTTCATGTTAAGGTGGTTCAACATCTGATCAGGATCCTCCTGGGCGCCTCCTGTTAGAGGTGTTCTGGACACGTCCCACTGGTAGGAGGCCCCGGGGCAGACCCAGAACACACTGGAGGGATTATATATCTCATCTGGTCTGGGAACACCTCGGGGTCCCCCAGGAGGAGCTGGGAAGTGTTGCTGGGGAGAGGGACGTCTGGGGTGCTTTGCCTGGTCTGCTGCCCCTGCGACCCGGCCTTGGATAAGCGGATGAAAATGGATGGACCCTGTGTAAGAGGGCACACAAGTATATGCTCTTAATTTTGAATGCTTGTATGTCTTACAGCAGCACACACACGTTGTTCTGGTGGTGTGCGGCAACCAGAATGGTCTCAGATGGTCTTCAGTGCGCGGTGTAATGCTGGTATGAAGTGGATGAACAGATATATCCGGACTGATGGCTTGGTAGGTCGTGTATCTTGTTCCCTCTTTAGATCTTAATTTTTTGGTCATCTCTGTATGGTCACTCTGAATATGACGACACTAACCGGTGGAGAGTCAAGAAGAAAGAAACAACAAGTCTGTTTTGATAAGCAGGAGAACTGGATCTCGTCTCAAACAAGAAAACATCAGAGTTGTTCCTGGTTTTTATCAGACCAGAGGGACACTGGTGTTCTATACAGGAACAAGGAAACTTTATGCAAATATGTGCGGCTTGATGTGACTGAATGATAAGATCATTGTTAGAGCAGGGGATAAGACAGAGCTGTAACATGACGCTACGTGAAGAAGAATCTCAGTATACATGAATAACAGCAGAAAGCAATAAACAAATTTCACCAGTTTGAAGCATACATCAATAAAATGTGTTTCCTTGTTTTTACACTTTGTCATAATGTTTCCTGAAAATAATGACTCAAAGAAAAAGTACATTTTATAGATGTATTATTAACTGAAAGAGAAATGCATGTTGTATACTGTATTTGACACTTTCTGGGATGTGAAGTAGGAATTTACAGGAATGCCTTGAAAGCAGCTCTGTTGGTAGAAATATGTTTCTAGACTGAACCGTCCGCCATGACTGATCTGGACTGAGTGTGATGGAGTGTTAAAGATGAGGTAGGTGATTTTTATGTCCGTGCACCGTCGATAGCCACGGCCGGAGACGGTATTTTTTCGGGTCGTTCTTGCGAACGTGACATCTCAAGAACGCCTTGAGGGATTTTTTTTTTAAATTTGGCACAAACGTCCAGATAGACTCAACAATGAACTGATTAGAATTTGGTGGTCAAAGGTCAGAGGTCACTGTGAACACAATAAACATGTTTGGAGCCAGAACTCATACACTAATTATGACAAAACATCACGTAAATATCAAACAGGATAAAACCATGAAGTGATGACATTTTATATCCAAAAAGGTCAAAGGTCAACTTCACTGTGACATCATAACGTTCTGCAAAATCACTTTTCTGGCCATTATTCAATGTCATGACTTAAAAACAGAAGGAGAGACATGTGGTCAGATACCGAACTGATGACACTAATCTTTAGTGTCCATCATGGATGCAAACTGTAACTGCAACCTGACCAGTTGGCGAAGGCGCACAGCCGTGAGGCGGTAAGTCTATTTTATTTTGTATTTGTTTGTTTTGTCCAAGCGGCAGCCTCCAGGGCTGATAAGTGAAGCCAATGTAAAGTGCCAAAAACTGCAGTTCATCGACTGGCCACTTGAGGCTGGCTCTAAATCAGAGCATCATTAATGACAACTGTACAGGGGCTGAATTGTTTTATAACAATCCCGTTTAAATGTTATTAAGGCTTAAAGTTCTGCATTAATTAAGGGCGTGGTCACTTTGACTGACAGGCTGTCACTAGGCCTCACATCAGGCCACTAAACTTTACTTCGGCGTCGGAGCCGGCTTGCCGGAGATTTATTTTACCAGACAAATAATAAAGCTTGCTGTGCAGATAATTGTACCAACTGACCGTCCAAGACACCAGTGCTCAAGTTTTTTGGTAAGTGACATTCTTATCATTTTATTTAAATGTTAGCGCTAATTAACATGTAACGTTGTTTCTCCAGCTTGTTAGCTTAGCTCCTTATCTCGCTATCTAACTGCTAACCGGCAAGTCCCGAAGTCCAAACGTAATATAGAAGGGTTAGAAGTTAGGATGGTTATCGGTCAGATACACCCCTCACTCCAGAGCTCCACCCTCTCATGCAAAAATTTGCATGTCTGGTTACAGAAATCCAAGATGGCAACGGCCAGAATGAACCTGCGGTCCACAAACAAATGACGTCACGCTTGCTATGTCCATTATTTTTACAGTCCACAGCTTTGTCGCGTATATCTGCCGACAATTTTGTTTTTGTTTCATGCTTTGAAAAATCACAATGTTTATTTTTGTTTGTTTTATAGGTGATGTGGCTATTTGGTGGCCGGTACATTGACTTGACCTCAGCATTCAGCTTCAGTCATATCAGAAGGAAATGTCGCACCCTTTTAGCACTCCATTGTTTTAATGTAATTTGCTGTTTTTGAGGAGTACTGACTTGCATTTTTATAAAGCTCTTACCTTTTTGTGATACTAACGTTTAATAGGATTTGTGTTTTAATATATACCTTTTTCTTGTCTTGTTAATTTGTTTAATACACTTTGTAATCTTGGCCGAATTCTTTGTCTCTGCTCATCATTTACTGTTGTCTGTATCAGTTTGAAGTACGAGTGGGTTTTTGGTTGGGTTGAAGCAAAAATTAAATAGAATCTTCTAAACTCTAAATCAAGCTGGGCCTTGCCACGGTCCGGCCACACTTGCTAAAAGTTGAGTTGTAGCACCAATATCACTGTTAGAATATTTACTTTTACATTAACATGTTGAGAAACTAAAACATTGGTTTATTCTTCACACTGAGACCCTTTTACTTTTGACAGTTTGGAGCTTGTTTGGTTTTAACTAAAGGGTCAGTTCACCCCCAAAAAAGTTGATTATGGAGTTTGAGAGTGAGAGTTTTTAATTATAGCTAAATTATAAACTATTAATATACATGATCTAATATGAAATGATGCATCTCTCTGCATATGTAAAATACACATCTCATTGTCCATATACACACACATTTATCTTACTTCATATGTTGTTATATTTTATCCAAATATTTAAACTTCACTATTCTGTTTTAGATTTTCATTATATTTGTTTTATCTGTTGTTTTTAAAAAAAACTACACACTTGTAAATTAGCATTATTGTCACTGGTAAGATTTTCATTACCCATAACTGTTTCTATAAACTTGAACTTTAACATGAAATACGTCATCAAACAATCCACTCTGATGACTTTAATTAAAAATAACGTAGTTTTTTTATTAACTTTAAAGTCGTACACAAACAGTTGGTAGCAAATATACATATATACAACTTCCTTTACAAAGAAAACAAGGAAAGAAAACTTTACAACAAAGAGCTGAGTCCTTTGGCACTTAATGTTTCGGGTCCAAAAAAAATAAAAAAAATAAAATCCAACTTGTTGAAAATGAGGAACGGGGCAAAAACCTGGAGAGAATAATTTGGGGGCAGCTTCTTGCTGTATCGTCACTGTTCAGCTGAATGTCTGACGTCTTTAACTGGCCTGGACACAATTATCCCACAGTAGATTTTTAACTACAAATCATCTCTGCTGAGCCTTTTCCAAATCACACCATCAGTTTTACATTGATTTCAGACAGCCGTTGACTTCAGTTCATTTCAGTGTGTGAAACTTGCTGACAGTGAACAGTAATCATCTCCATCTCTGTGTCAAAGTCACTTCATGTTTGTGTGTAAACAGATCATTTTCTAACCTTTTGTTCGTGATGCATTCAAGGATCCTCCGACACTTCAGCTGCGTAGCTGCAGAGAGGCACTGCAGTGACAGGAAAACAGACTTTGGGGCCAAAAATTAACGCTGTTAAGTCATTCCTGTTCTGTCTGCATTTAAAAAACTGTTTGGCACCTGGTCTCAAACCATCTCCCTCCTCACGACACGAGATAACTTTCACCAACCACTAAAATCAAACACTGCTTTAAGCTGTCGTCTATCACAGTCATTCAAGTCTCTCCTGGTTTAGATTTCGTACAAATGAAGTGGCTGCTGAGAAGGAGGGAAATCAATCTGAAAGAGAGGATGTGACGTAGAGAATGATTAGTAGTGAGGTATAACATACAGTAGCTGGAGTTAAACATGTTGTAATGGTCCTTTAATCTGCAGTTCCTGTAGGACAGCATGATTTAGCTCTTTCACTATAAATCACTCGTCCAAATACCGTTGCTACGACATTTTGATGTTTGTTTGTACTTTTCCAGACATTCATGTACAGTTTGAGAATTTATCAGTCGACTTCTACGACTTATTTGAGTCGTCTAATCCATCACAGTGAATGTTAGCATTTTGAGCCGAGCCCAAACAGATGTTTCCAAACTGATACCTCCAAAGATCTCCAATAATGATCCCTTAAACTTGGTTATTAAAGGAATACTTAATTTACATATCAGTTCTTCATCTTGTGTTGCCTTGAACGAAGAATCCAAAACAATGTACACCGATGATTAATTTAAGTCACAGGGAACCGCATAAAACATCAGTTCATAAACTCTCACACAACTTGAGCAGTATAATCCAAATCTCATTTATCCAGTCGTGCGCTCCGCACTTCACAAACAGTCCTGTCTGAGAGGAAACTGGAAAAGAAGTGAAACTTATCCATGCTCTCTTTAAAGCCAGACTCCATTAACAAAGCGAGCAATTTTACCTCACTGAACACGGGAGCTGCTGGTCCACCTCTGCCTCCATCAGTTAGTTTGTCTGTCTTATTGTGTGACTTTGGTGTTTTAAAGGGTTCGTTCAGATTCGCCAAAGTCACACAATAACACCAACAAACTACCTGATCAAGGCAGCGGTAGACCAGTAACTCCCGTGTTCAGTGAAGTAAAATGACTGTTTTTGTCTTTGAAGAGAGCAGAGATGCCTTAGTATAGTTTTACTCTTGTTTATTCCTCTTTGGTGAGAGGAACAAACACATCTTTGTCATTACGTCTTATCGATATATTACCTGATAAGAAAATATATGTGATGAGATAGAAACTGGGTGATAATGCCAGTAGGTAATCTGTGCTCGCTGCATCACTATGAAACAGTAATGAAGCACTGGATTAGAGATGAAATGTCTTTTTTTTTTTTAAATAATCAAGTCATCATTTAAAAAAACATTTGCAGATTTCAGCTCACGTATAATAACCCTTTAAAAACACCAAAGTAACACAAATAGAGCAACTGATGGAGGCAGCGGTAGACCAGCAGCTCCTGTGTTCAGCGAGGTAAAATTACTGTGTTTTGTAAATGAGGTCTGGCTTTAAAGAGAGCATAGATACGTTTCATTTTCAGTTCAGTCCCATCACCCCTGACTACTGGATAGATGAGACTTGAATTATCCTGCACTAGTTGTGTGAGAGTTTAAATGTTGGGTATAGTTTTACTGTTGTTAAACGTGGTCTGTTTACTTCAAATTAACAACGTCTGCCATGTTTGGATTCTTCGTTCACTGTGGAAGCATGTGAGGGAAGGCAACATGGCACGATTAACTGAAATAAAAATGGTCACTTTGTGGGTGAAGTATTCCTTTAAAGTACTGCACTAAAGATAATTACAGCGTCACTGCTCTCTGGTGGACAAACTATTTAATGGAGTCACTGTTTCTAAATGACCTCAAACACATCTTTGCCATGTCTTCTCATTGATATAAAAACTGACATGAAAACATCTGTGCTGAGATAAAAACTGGGTGATGATACTGGACACTGGATTAGATTCATCAATTCATCATTTAAGTTATTTTTCGTGTTAAAAAAAAAGCAAAATACTTTCAGCTCCTGAATAATAACAACTTTCTGATTTTCTTCGTCTTCTGTCATCACAAACTTTCTCTACAGGTTTTGGATAGTTGCAAGCAACCTAAAGCCGTCATGTTGGGCAACGTCACCACATTTTCATTCTTTAAGGGTGAACAATAAAACAGAAACAGAAAAATAAGAAGAAATAATCTGCAACTGTTCTGATCATTGACTAATCATTGAAGAGAATATCATGAGAAATGTTTTTAGCCACTTAAATTCTGTGATTTCTGTGTTTTATATCAGATTAAACTGAATATTTTGGGGGTTTGATTCGACAAAACGAGCCTGAAGGACGTCACCGTGGACTCTGAGACACTGGGACGGACAGTTTTCACTACTTTCAGATATTTTATAGACCAAATAATTACTCTAGAAAATAATCTGTTGATGAATCTATATTGAAACCAATGGTTAGTTGCAGCCCGCGTTAACTGGCAGTAGACTTGTGATGGATTTGACGACTCAAACAAGTATCTCAAGTCTGTTAACTGATTTTCATATGATACAAAAATGTAGAAAAACACACACACACACACACACACACACACACACAAAAAACAGCCTGAAAAAGGTCATAAAAATAAAGTGTGCATGATTTGTAGTTGAAGAGCTACATCACACTGGCATGTTGGTCCTTTAACGACACCTTCTAGTGACTCGACGGAGCTTTCAACACCTCAACGTCTTTAGCAGCCGAGAAGATCTGAGCACGTTATAATCTGACCTTTGACTCGTGTAAACACAATCTGATCACTGTGTCTGGGAGCAACGTTGCTCAGTCCGTCCAGTCATCACACACCTGACTCAGTATTTGGCTCTGTGCAGGTCAAAGGTCACCGGACGAGCAGTAACGTGGGCGTCTGGGTATAGAAAAGTAAAAACCGATGAGGGTGAAATGCTTCCTCGGGGCGATCGCTCCCAGAAATCAGTTTTTTTGCGTGTCTAAACAGATAAAAGTTGAGCAGCATTTGGTTTCAGTTCCTCTCAGACGGCGTCCGCTCCTCGAGCTCGGAGACCACGCAGGTTTTATTTCCTGCTCGTTCACTCCCACCTGTAGAGCTTTAGCATCTTCTCCGTGAGCGAGGCCAGGAAGTGCTCGCCGTTCACCGAGAACGGGCTGATGTCCAACACCGGGAGGTCAGCCGGGAGCTTCTGGAGCAGAGAGCCGCTGCTTGCATCCCACACCTGAGGAGGAGGAGAAGGAGGAGGAGGAGGAGGAGGAGGAGGAGGAGGATGTGAGGAAGGAGAGGGTGAAGGAGGAGAAAAAGGAGAGGAAGGAAGAGGAGGAAGATGGGGGAGGAAGAGGAGGAAAAGAAGAGGACGGAAGACAGGTAGGAGGGAAAGAAGAGAGGGTGGAGATGGAGGAAGATAAGAGGGGTGAGGAAGGAGATAGAGGAGAAAGAAGACAAGGGGGAAGGAAGGAGGAGCAGGAAGAAGAGAGGAAGGGGGAGTGGAGAGAGTAAGGAGAAGGATAAGAGGGAGGAGGGAGGAGAAAGAAAAGGATCATGAGGAAGAGAGAAAGGAGGGCGAGGAAGATAGGGGAAAGGAGGAAGGAGAAGGAGGAGGAGCAGGAGAAAGAGAGCAAGGTGGAGGAGAGGGGGGAGGAGGGGAATAGAGGGAGGAGATGGAGGAGGGTAAGGAGAAAGGAGGAGAGAGAGGAGGAGGAGAGGGAAAAAGAGGAGGGAGGAGGAAAATGTAAAGAAGGAAAGAGGAAGATGAGACAGAAGGGAGGAAGAGGATGAGAGAGATTATTCAGAAACTGTTGGTTCGTTCCCAACAACAGAAATTTATACAAAGTAGCTTTGAGCTTTTAAAAATTATATAAAATTAACTCATTAATTAAACAGAAAAAATATAAAAAGAATTAAAACAACATGTTTTAAATAATCCTCCAAATAATTAAAATAATTACACTGAATATTTGAAGTAATGAGGAAACTTTGATATCAAAAGAAACATAACTATTTAATGCAAACAAAGTTGTTGGGAAACTTTATGCTCACTTTAGCGTTACACCAAGAAGATGGATATTTCCCCCAAAATTACATTTGAATTAAATTCTGAGTGGTCATCAGGAGAGGACGAGGAAAAGGAAAGCCAGGGCTCTTGTGTGCAGACCTCCAGGTGTGTTTGAATCCGGCCGTGCCAACATCCAGGTTTGAACTGGACGAAGTTACACAGCTGCAGATCAATGTAAATACAAAGTAGCTTGTGAGTTCCTGGCGTGTGTGCTGCGTTGCCTGGCAACAGACCAGGGAACTGTTTGTTTTTTTGTTTTGTTTTTTCGCGGAGCTACATAACATACTTAAATAATTTATTTCAACACCCTTTGTTAACATTTCCTTTCTCAGCATTGCTGTTTAAGCTGTTGTTGAACTGTTGTATAAAAGCAACATCACACTGGAGGGAGTGACGTTGGAATATATATCGTCACGGCTGTGATTGTCTTCTGTGACCGAATCACAGCCGTGACGATATACAGTCCAACGTCACTCCCTCTCGTGAGATATTGCTTAAATAAACACAAGGTTGCTTCAGGCTTTTTAAATTAAATTAATTTGATTTAGTTTATGCTCTCTAAGACAAAAAACTAAAAGGTAAATTAACTAAACTATAAAAGACTCTTATAGTTAAGAAGATGAGAAAAAGGAAAATGTACGTAACAATAAAAATAAGATATAATCACTTTAATTTAAGTAGAAATAGGCCAATTATGCACTCTTCAGATTGATAAAATAAAACTTAATGTTGAGACTAAGAAGACTGACCATAGTGGAGTTGGAGGCCTCGTCCCCGGCGCAGACCAGCGTCCCGCCACCGTCTGGACTCTTGAAGACGGCATTCTTGGTGAGCAGTTTGCAGGACGAGCCGGCGCTGAACGTCTGCACCGGCGAGCAGGAGCAGCTGGGCAGCTGAGAGGAGTCCTGCTGAGGCGTCCTGTTCAGAGACATCAGGACGCAGCGCAGAGACGGGTTGGAGCGTCCTGCAGGAGACACGGGACACTTCATACAGGAAACTGAGCAGACTGAGTCCTTTATCAAACTGCTGCTGTCGACACTTCACGTCTGGCTGTTCTGGCCTGTTACACAAATGTAATTCTGTGTGGACGTTCAGGACGAGCAACAAAAACTAGGTGGTGCTGTACTTTAAGGAACAATGTGAGGATTTAATGGTGAGGACTGCAGATTGCAGCTCAACACACACATTAACGCAGCAGTAATATTAATCCAGAACAGGAAAACACTGACAAACATTTCCTGCACCACAAAACTGCACAAATACACATAAAGAGATCATCTGTTCTGTCCGTCTGCATTTTCCTTTCTGCACATTCAACATTACAAAAGACTTTTGGTCAAACTTTGTCAATAAAACAACAAACAAATCCTTAAAAAGAAACCCAGGCTGCTGAACATCGCTGGATGTCAAGTGTTGAGATGCAACAAACTGCTTGTTATTCACAGAGTGGCAGATGTGTTAGTAACACCTTTGAGTTTCCTCTCGCAGAGAGCAGCTCATGAAGCAGCCTTCCTCCTGTCGCAGACGCCCCAGCTTCATGCTCACTGTGTTTATCTCATTACAGACGACTTTGAGTCCACCGTGTCTAAACTACAAATCATCATCAATACTTCGGGAACAGTCTGGATTTCTTTTTGTATTTATTCTATACACAGTGAACATGATGTTTCCTTCTGTGATGTTTGGTGTAACTGTGTGAACGCCGTTCAGAATCAACTGGATCGTAATTGTTGAAACACATTTTGAAGGTTTGATCCGGATCAAAACCAAGACTGCATTACATGATCTAATCCCACTTTATTTTCAAGATCTGATCCAATCAAATATCCAAAATGTAATCAGATTATCATCTGAACGACAACTGTGACCATTCATGAGAAACTCTGACTTGCAAAAACAGCATCTTCTCTTAAAGCTCCAGTGCGTCAGATTCAGGAGGATATACTGGCTGAAATGGAACATAATATAATACATATGTTTTCTTTAGTGTGTAATCAGCTGGAAATATGAACTGTTTTGTTTTTGTTACCTTAGAATGAACAGTCTATATCTACACATGGAGGGAGGGTCCTCCTCGACATGTTGCACCGCCATGTTTCTACAGTAGCCCAGAACAGACAAACCAAACACTGGCAGCATCAGAAAAAACACTGATTTATAACATGAAACTGTTTTTTTCACTGTTTTTACCAGTTTAAATCAGCTGGTCTGTTTGTTTTGGTGAGAGAGAGAGACCTGTGTGGATCATCTGACTCAGTAAAAACCTCCTGAACGTCTGGATCTCAAGTTATCAGAGAAAAAAGGTGAGCACACATTAGCAGGTGCTAGGCTAACATACCATCTCTGACGAGCCAAACAGCGTCGGAGAAACACTGATTTGTTACATGAAACTGATTATTCAGTGTTTAAATCAGCTGGTCTGTTTGTTCTGGAGAGGAAGAGACCTGTGTGGAAAATTCAGCTCCTGAACAATGAACACTGAAGGAATTCTGACCAGGAGAAGTTCCAGCTGGTTGCAATGAGCAGTCCTCACCACTAGATGCCACTAAATCTGAACCTTTAAATCGTGCCTGAAAACTTTGTTTCTGACCTTCTTTAACTTCAGCTTTTCCTCTTTTAAGTTGCCTCTGAAACTGTATTTTCTTTGTAAGCCTTTTTCAGAACTTCTTTGTATTTGGGCTAATATGATGTCATGTATGATATTCACAGGCAACGTGTATGTTTTCTATATTCTGTTTGGTTTTTCCTTCCTGTTATAAATGTTATTTATAATCATTATTATTACTACTACTACTATTATTATTGATATTGCTATTCACGTTATTACTTTTATTATTTTTCTTCTGATGACGCTCACATATTAAGCCAGCTGTGTTTGCTGTCAGCACTGCCTGGTATTCTTTGAAGGTTTCAGTTAGCAGTCTCACCTGGCCTGTAGGTAACCAGACAGTGTCGACTTTCTGTCTCCACCTGGATGTCGGTGCAGCCGGCGGTCTCCAGCGGCAGGACATGTGGTCTGTATGTGGTCTCGTTGACCTGTTCCCAAAAACATCCGCCCTCCAGAGAGCCAGCGATCAGCCCGCCACAGGGGAATGAGCTGGACGCCGCCCGTGGGACGTAACACAGAGACGCCACTGGACACCTGAAAACATCAAGAGTTCAACAAGTTTAAAAACTTTTTTTTGTGTGTGTTTAACAGTAATGTCCTTGTAGTCGCCCCAATGAGTCCCCTTAGACAACAGCCACACTAAACCAGCGAAAACTAAAAGTCTTCTTGACCCTCCATCCTCACTAACCCACCACTTCACTTTTTCAAAATGATCTTCAGAGTAAATCAATCTGAAAACACCAGCTTCATATTTTAGCATAAATGCGTGTGTGTCCTTGTGTGTACCTGGAGCGTAGCGGCTGCAGCTCCTGGACGTGTGTGCTGGTGTCTCTGGTGTCGTAGACGAGCACAGAGCCGTTGATCAGACCTGCGTAAACGTAATTGCTGTTGTCCAAACACCAGCAGCAGCTCCACACGGGTTTACCTGCGTTATAGGTCTGAACCACCGTGTTGGTCAGCAGACTGCAACACACACACACACACACACACACACACACACACACAGTCAGTCCACTGACCATGTGATAATAATCATTCATTCATCATCTCTGTGATTCTGATTGAGACACGTGAAGTGTGTGTTGTGTGTGTGTGTGTGTGTGTGTGTGTGTGTACCTGGTCAGTTTGATGGTGTTGTCCAGAGCAGCAGACAGCAGCAGACTGTCGTTCTGCCTGTTGAAGGACAGACCCCGGATCTGTTTGCTGTGGATGGGGACGTACTGACTCGCCTTCATGTTGACCACACTCACCTTCTTCACCCCACAACCTGGAGGAGGAGGAGGAGGAGGAGGAGGAGGAGGAGGAGGAGGAGGAGGAGGAGGAAGGAAGGTAACCAGTGAGAGGAAATCAGAGCTGGGTGACAATATACGTCTTTCTAAGGAAACACACACCATTATCTGTTTTTTTCCTGCCTCATTCTAGTGTTTAAAGGTCCAGTGTGCAGGATTTAAGGGAATCTATTGGCAGAACATGAAATGTGACATGAAAAAAAGAACTGTTGTGTTTTCCACCAAACAGTCACAGACATGAAGTTTCTCGGGAACATAAGGTGTTTCAGCAGCATCTGAAGAGTCATGAAGATCAGACTGATGTCAAATAATGATCATTATTTAATGTTACATCATTGTGACATTTCTCGTCTCCAAAGGAGCAACTGTAATGCTTTGAGCCAACCAGCTCTACAGACTCTGAGCCAGTACCTGCTGGAAGAAAACTACACTCAGAGCAGAGACTCAAATAACGGCAGAGAAACTAAATTTACAGCCTGGTTCCTCTGGTTAAACTAGAATCACTGCTTTACTGTTTACTCTCAGAACCAGTCACGTTGAAGTTACAGTTACATCCATGTCTGTCCAGACTCGTATGAAGCCACGGCAGTTGACAATGATTCAAATATAGATGTTGCAAATTCTAATATGTGAATGCTTCACACACGTCTTCATCACGGCAGCACAGCAGATTGATACAATCAGCACAGTTTCAAGATGGACACCCAGGATTAGTGTGACCTATTCAGTCTCTGACCAAATGTCTCCTCCTCTGCCCCTCAGTTATGATGTTGAGTAATGACTAGAAAAGGAAAGTGTTTTTGCTGAACATTATGACGCCACAGTGAAGCTGACCTTTAACCTTTTGGATATAAAATGTCACCACTTCATCATATTAGACGTTTGTGTGAGTAAAGGCCCAAAACTTGTTTTCTGAGGTCATGGTGACCTTTGACCACCAAAACCTAATCAGTTCATTGTGGAGTCCAAGTCTGAGGAGGAAATTCCCTCATGGCGTCAAGATATCACACTCACGAAGACAGGATGGACAAAGGAATAGAGAACCTGAAAACATAATGCCTCCGGCCACAGCTGTCGTCAGCACAGAGGCATAAAAATGCAGGTACGGAGTTCCTGAGTTCCTTTGAAGAATTACAGAACAGTTCAGACGTCTTGGCCCGAGGGTGGCAGTAAAGAGTCTCCAAAAGGAGAATCTATCAGACAGCATCAATGTGCTCAGCAAAGATGAAGTCACATCTCTTTTGATTGGTTACTTGTTTAAAAACATAAAGATAATGAGTCATAAGGAAGAAGGAAGTTACATCTCACCGGGCACCAGTGTGGAGTGAGGGGAGGGCTGCGAGGCCAGCAGGCAGCTCAGAGGTTCACAGTACGATAAAACCCTGGAGCCTCCGGCCTGAGACACCAGCACCGCCTTGGAGAAGCTGTATTGTGCTGCCCTGGAGCCGTCCGCCCTCTGAGACAGACCGAGGAGGAGCGAGGAGGATGCTGAGGAGGAGGACGAGGAGGAGGAGGAGGGAGCTGAGTTTCTGCCAGCTTGGGCCATCAGCGCCCTCAGCTCCTACACAGACAGAGAGGAGGAAGATGTCAAGAGATTCATCTGATATTTCTGTGACTATAAAGGAAAATCATGTGAACAGCATCTAGTTCTCAAAACTGGAGTCCAGAATGTGCCAGTGTTTTGTTTAGTCTTGAACAAAAAGCTAAGTCCAACCAGGAACAAGAATAATCAAACCTAAAAGTTACATTTTCAGTGATACCTGCAGCTCTTGTTGTGCTTGTCCATATTTGTTGGTGACAACCTGCAGTTTAAGTTTGTACTGAGCTGATTCCAGTTCAGCTTTCCTCCTCAGAGACTGCTCCTGCTCCAGAGACCTACGTGCGCGCGCACACACACACACACACACACACACACACACACACACACACACACACACACACAGTTTCATATTAATCCACTTACTACACTACTAACAAGGCAAGGGACAGGTTGTGATGGTATTTTAGAAGACAGAAATGTGCATCACAAATATATTCTAGGAACACTTAGTTTCAATAAGTCTTGCCAACAAATTTAAAGCAGCACATGAATGACACAAATCTACTTACATCCTGTACTTCATATTTACACCAGAAGAGGGCGATAACAGATGAATCTATACTATTAAATGCTGCAAAAAACACTTTAAGCAGCTACACAGAGTTTTTAACAACATAACTTCAACATTGAAATAACTGACACATTTACTGGTCAATAAAGCAGAAAACCTTTCAATCCTCCAGGAGCTGTGTGTTTCACACTAAAATTGTCAGTTTTGGGTGGAATGTTCTTTTGACAGTGTAAAAAGTTTCATCTGAAATAAACATCTCAAAAGCTTATTTGGACCCCACAGATGTGGTGTGTTGGCGCCGGTTAAGCAGAGAAAGCATCACTCACTTCTTTAAGCTCTCTTGCTCCGAGTTGTCGAGCGCTCGCAGCTTTGGAGCGTACAGCAGAACGATATCTGAGCGTTTGGCTTTCTTGTTGCACTAAAGACAAACAACAGAAACATGTCTTTGGCGTCAGAGTCCAGATGTGAGATGCAGGATAAGACACCAGCGAAGGTTAAGAAAGAAAAAAAAAGACTTCCTGTTAAACACAGTAAGGTCACTGACCTGTGGACATTTAGCGGCCGGGCCCTGCGCTTTCAGCCAGCGCTGGATGCAGGTGAAGCCGAAGAGGTGTCCGCAGCGCAGAGCCGACAGTCTGTGCTCGCCGGCTGTTGTCCACGCCTCAAAGCAGATGGTGCAGGTGTCGCCTTCGCCCTCTTCAGCGGGCAATGACTGGACGGAAGCCGAGGCCGCAGGGACAGGCTAGAGGTGGACACAATAAGAGTTTCAAGCTCAACACTGACACGAAAACATCAAACTACAGATTTAAAATGAGGGACTAAAATGTTAGAAACACCCAAGGTGGTGTTCAGGTGTGTTGCTATAGGTACAATTGAGTAGATTAAATACAAACAAGAAATTGAGTTTGAAGGCTCATCAAGCAGCAGGTTCTTTAAACTAACACGAGACAATGGAAAATAAGCTACATGACAGTTAACTCAGAGGAATATACTGATCAGCAGCAGACCTTTATTAGCATTATTAGCTCCAACTCTGAAGAGTCCCTGCTCATCACTTATAAACTGCCAAATCTGTTCTCTGTGTGTAAATTCAGAACAGAAGTACTGTAACTGGTAGCAGAAAGAAGAGCGACATATAAAGTCTGACAGTTACCTGGACATTCTGATTCTGAGCGTCCGTCCTCTCACCATCTGCAGCTGAACTGGAGTCTGAGAAAAGATGAAATATAAAGAAATCAAACTGGACTCTCAGAACACAACACAGACTTCACACTGGTTTGTGAAACCCAGTCAAAGACACATCAACGACAAAAACTAGTTTAGATTTACCGGTTGGGCCAACTTCCTGTGGTTGTGCATGATGGACAGAGGCATTGAGGCGAGGACTAGAAGGCGGCACGGGCTCAGCAGGCTCCACGGCAGCAGGCGTGTCTTCTTCACCCCCCTCTTCCTCCTCCTCTTCAGACTCGCTGACCTCTGTGGTGCTGCCAGACTCCGGCTCAGCCACGCTTGCTGCTGGCACTCGGAGCAGGAAGTCTGGAAAGCCTCTGGAGGGCGCTGCAGTCTGGCTGGGGTAGTGCACCCTGAGGCCCTGCCTGTAGAGGACACACAGGTTTAATATCTCAAAAAGACACTGACCTTTTTAACAAAATATATTTAAAAAGGCATGAACCAAGCCGTCTCTGTGCTTTAGTTTGGGGTACCTGAGTCTCCTCCGTATGGGCGCCCCCTGAGCTGCTGAAGGTGTAGCTGCAGAGACGCCCACCGCTCTCTGACTGAACGCCCAGGTGGCAGGGAGTCTGGGAGGTGCACGAGCTGCCGTCTGCCCTCCTTCATTGTCATCGTCATCGTCCTCGTCCACCTCAGTGCTGCTGCCAGAATCTGAGATGACGTATGGTGCGTTGGCGTCCGCAGCAGCAGCAGCAGCAGCAACCTCTGGCTGTCTGCTGCCTCCTCCCTGCATTTCCACAGGAGAGTCTACCTCCATGGCCTCCATCTGCACAGCAGCACAGTGGGAAACAACACAGGTTAGACTGTTAAAGGTCCACTGTGTAGGATTTAGGGGGATATATTGGCAGAATTCATTATAATAAGTCTGTTTTCTTTAGTGTATAATCACCTGAAAATAAGAACCACTGTGTTTTTGTTACCTTAGAATGAGCTGTTTGTATCTACATAAGGATCAGGTCCTCATCCACAGAAACCATCACGTTGCACCACCATGTTTCTACAATAGCCCAGAACGGACAAAGCAAACACTGGCTCTAGATAAGGCCTTTCACGTTTTCACTTCGGCTACCATAGTCAGCAGCCCCGTCATGACGAGCAGCATCGGAAAAACACAGACTTTTTAATGTGGAACTGCTTTACTCAGCGTTTTTAAATCAGCTGGTTTGAATCAACGGGTCCCTTTGCTTTGGAGAGGAAGAGACCTGTGCGGAAAATTCAGCTCAGAGTAAAAACCTCCTGAGCGTCTGGATCTTCAGTTATCAGAGCAAAAAGGTGAGCACACATTAGCAGGTATTAGGCTAACAGCTGTGCTCCAACAAGCCAGCAGCATCTAAGAAACACTCCTTTTTAACATGAAACTGCTTTAATCAGTGTTTTTAGCAGTGTTAATCACCTGGTCCATTTGTTATGCAGAGGAAGAGACCACTGAGGATAATACTGCTTCCAGCAAAAACATCCTGAACAAACAAACTAAACAAATTCGAATCAGGAGCAGTTTCCTGACCATGGAGGGCTCTATATGTACAAACTTGAAGTGAATCCTGTGCTTGATGTGAAGCCAGTGTAAAGAAACTACAATGTGAGTGACGTGGGTTGACCTGTTGAACCTGGTTAGAAGTGTTCTGGGTTAATTGAAGACGATTCAGAGAAGATTCAAGTCCAGTTGGGAGGACACAAAAGCATGGATAATCATCTCTAGCTCAGGTCTCGACACCACAGATCTGAGCTTTGCAACATTTCTTAGCTGAAAAAAACAAGTACGGGTCTGTGATTTGACATGATGATCAAATGCATGGCCTGATCAAAAATAACACCAGGATTCCTGATATCTGACCGTATAGCTGACAAAAGGGACTCAACCTTTGAAGCTATACTGGAGCAGTTATCAGACGCTCCTTCTTGTCTGTGTTTAATTGTAAGTAGTTGTTTGACATCCAGTCCTTCATGGTGCTGTTTAGTGCTAGTAAGTAAAAAAATCTTTCACCGCTGCATAAACAGAAATAATTAATCACCAAATATTTAACGAACACGCACCTTGCCTGTGGATACCTGAACAGTGGAGTTAAACTCTGGCTCCACCTCGCTGCACAAATTCAAAACTTACACAACCTGCATGTTGTGCTAATTTATTAGCCAGCTAACGTTGATCGACACAGTGCACAGTAGTTAGCGGTGACAACACGCCCCGCCAAGTATCCATGTCTCTGTCTGTCAACTGTCCAACAAATCCCCTTTCAGTTTAATGACCTATCTGTTGTCTGTGGTGGCGAATACCTTCCGCTGCGGTCACCGGGGGCAGGTGCTGCGTTCGCCGGCTTAGCTCCAAACTAGAGACCGGGGTCGTCTAGGCCTCCGAGCAATAACAGAGCTAACAGAAGCTCTTTGTTTTCAGTTTATACAGCTGTGAATGTGGTTTTTGGATGTACAACATTTCCACATTAGCAATGTTATAGAAAAACACAGAAAATAATATTAATAATTGGATTATCCATTCTGGTCCCCTGGTAACTACGGACGCTTAAGCTAACTTTAGCTAGCATCTGGCCCGTTGTGAGGCTGCCGACATGCCTTTAATCCCTTAAATTACGCTTCTATTAAAGTCAATGCATAAACAGCTACAGGTGATATTAACTAGGGTGTTGTTACTGTAAAGATAATGAGACAGCCTGGTTGGTTTGTTAGCGCGGCTAGCTCAGTTAGCTAACGGCGTGTAGCTGCAGCAGCAGCAGCAGTAGCGCGGTGAGAGGCAGACTCGTACCTGTGTGACAGTGAAGGTTTAACGGCTGCTGATCCCGCTCTGGCAGACCACACACGGTAACAACATGGCTCCGCGGTAAAGACACAAATCAAAAAGGGTCTGGTTGAGTTGGGTTTTACGGGGTGACTTCCAGGACTGTTAACAGAGTCAGGACCGCGGTGACGGATCGAATCTCCCGGCGCCAGCCCGCTCTGCCCGCCCCATCCTGCCGTGACGTCACCGCCCAAGATCGTATGTTGAGAAGATGAGTAACACTGACGCAGAAAATGTTGTTCTCACACCACACCAAGAAATTCTGGCGCGACCTTTGCAGATTTTGTCAGTGATCATAATTATGTCCTCCTTTTGTTTGGTCTGCATTTTGAATGTGTCCTAGCTATTTGGGATCAGAAGGACCAAAGAAGTTTAAAACATGAAATACTATCAACGAGTCCCAGTGTCCTCACACGGACATTAATAAAGTCCCAATGTCCTCAAACGAGTACTTCCTAATTATCAGTGTCTTATCTTGTTACTGTTGCTTAATTTGGTCACATTTTGGCAGCCATCTTGTTTTTACATGGATTAGTGTATTGTGGTCTCTCTGCCACTAGATGGCACAAAAAAGTGTCCAAAATGTGAGGACGCAGGGTCTCAGGAGGATATTATTATACTCATATATACGTTGAGACATTTAACGGCATCATAAATAGGGATGGGTAGTGCACATGCGCCCGCGTGTGCAACCTGTTGCAGTCGCTCCTGTTTGTTTTCTTAGTTTTCCTACTTTTTTGCTTTATTAAGTTAGGTATTTGTGCTTGCTTTTTATGCTGTTTATTTTAACTATATATTTGTAAATACTCTTGTTAAATTTCTTATATTTTCATGTATCTTTCCTCTCTTGCAAGGAGCACCTGTAACACAAATAATTTCCCCTCGGGTATCAATAAAGTATTTCCTATTCTGATTCTGATTCTGTGCCGAAACCCGGTACTAAATTAGCCATGGGGCTAAATTATCGAAGACCATAATATTGATAAGCTCTGACAGTATCGGTTATCGGTACTTTTACACATTTTGGTGTAATTCATTATCATCCTGCAGCCTCTCATCTGCGCTGTGTCAGGGCTGACCTACTCTACACACACACACACACACACACACACACACACACACACACACCTACGCTACAAGGTAGTCGGTGAACAGCTGAGCAGCAGCGGTGGAAACAAAGTGAAGATAATAAAAATGTTTTTTTCTATTTGATAAACTGCTGAGTTTAGCAGTAAAGGTTGAACTGACACACAGTCGGGGAGCTTGGGAATTTCCCTCCAGAGAGCAATAAAGTCTTATCTCAATCTATAATAGTTCATCATAATTTATTTGCTGATTAAATTTTGGATTGTTGATCAGAATCTGCAATGTAACTAAAGCTGCCAAATAAATGTAGTGCAGTAAAAAGCATTAAGTGGCAGAAAATTGAAAACTTTAAGTGAGTTTAAAGAACCATGTTCCCGACACTGTCCTTAGGTACAGAACTGTCTGACAGTATATGAGTCAAACATCTCAACAATATGTTGTTGATTTTCTTTTTTCTATTGATACATCTCTTAATTCAGAAACACAGAGGATCCCGCTGTTCATTGTATGTTCCTGTCTTGACCTCCATCTCCAACTGGAAAATAATTCTCTGTCAAAGAAGAACAAAAATGAGCTGATGTACCACTGGAATTGCAAAAAGTAAACATGAAAACACGAAAACATGAAAATTAAATTTAAAAAAAACAAACAGAAAAAGTTATAGTTCAGTTGGATGACATTATTAACACTGAGATTTACAGGGTGCATTGAAAAGAGTTAAAGGAGGACAAGTAAATGTGTTATTGGTTTGTTTATTGGTTTTTATTAGGCATATTTCAACACTTTAACTTCACCTCTCATGTTCCATAAAACACCTCTTTAATTCAGTAAATATAAAGGCTGAAATAACAACAGGTTTGTGACAGGTATAACTAAATCCCCAGCAGGAGCTCTGGCTCCTTAACATGCAATTTTTTGGTTCCCATTCCATTTTCAACCACCTATCCGAGGCCGGGTCACGGGGGCAGCAGGCCAAGCAAAGCTCCCCAGATGTTCCCCTGCCCAGCGACACTTTCCAGCTCCTCCTGGAGGACCCAAAGGCATTTCCAGGCCAGATGAAATATGTAATCCCTCCACCCATGCCCAGAACACCTCTAACGGGAGGTTTGCTGACATGCAATCATTTAAAGATATAAACTTTTACACATTAAAACATTTTAAAAACTACTAAACCTATGTTATAAATGTTGTTGAGTTATGTGCTCATACTACCCTAAATGTTTCCAGCAATGTTCAAACCCAGAGAAATGTAACGGTCCATGTTTTTTGGTCACTGGCCTCCCTCCTGTCTGGAGAGCACTGAAGTCGACCTATCAGATGCTCCTGGAAGTTCCCAGGGGTCTCATTTATAAACAATGCGTAGGATCCATACTAAAAATGTACGTACAGACAAAAGCCAAAAATCGTGCGCACCAAAAAATGTTTGATAATTTCCACAGTCAGGCTTCCACCTCGTCATCTGTGTCACCAATTTCCCCCCTCCAAACTGTTGGTAAGCATGAGTCAAAGTTTCTCCCATCAAGTCTGTTTCTTCGTGAATTGACGACGTACCTACAGCGTAGCCTGACATGCACCTCCCAAGAAATGAGATTACACGTCTCTGTGACGCAGACCTCCTGTCTGTCTCTGTAAACTGAAACCATTTCCCTCAGTAGAAATTAAGCTTTGATTTTCTTTTATTCCACAGATAAAAAACAATAAATTGTGAAGACAATAAAGCCTCCACAAAACAGCATTTTAAGTCTTGCGTGTGATTTATCCTGGCTTCATATGAGCACAGGAAATCTCCGCTTGTCGCTAGGCTAATTTATACAATGTAAAATGCCATAGGCTTGCGCTAATAACGTTAGCATGTTATATTTGTTAGGAAAACGTGTTTAGTTTAAGACAGTTGTTTTGTCAGTGAACCTTGTGAGCTGTAATGGAGCCAAATTATGTGCCGTTACATTTGTTACATGTTGCTGTTGTCCCTGGTTTCATATGAGTAGAGTAAAAGTTCACTAGCCGCTAGGCTAATACATACAATGTAAAATGCCATAGACTTGTGCTAATAACGTTAGCATGTTGTATTTGTGGGGAAAATGTGTCCAGATAAAGACAAGTGTTTGTCTGTGAATGCTGCGAGTTATAGTGAAGCTGATTTGTGTACTTGTGTTTGAAATTGTTGCAGTTAAGCCATGTTTAATGTGTGTTTAATGTGTGTTTGAATCAACTAAACGTCACCGCATTTCAAAGAAATTCCCCACCAACTAGTGTTTTGGAGGTGTAACTGCAGAGTGACACAGACACGCCACTGCACAAGTATAAATGCTCACAATGGCGTGGGCGTTGTGCATGGGCTCTGCCGCACAAGTATAAATCCCCATTTATCCGACGTCAAGTGAACCAAGAAACATGCTGTATCGTTATAATGTCAAAATAACAAAAGCTCTCTGGCACCCACTCAGCTACCACTGCACTACTGAGAAGAGTGGACATGGAGAGAAGGAACATGGAAAACCACAACAACAACAACAACAACAACAACCAACAAATCTGTGTTGAAATCAGCAGGAGGAGAACTAGTTATGGTTACTGTAAGCAGCTGGTAAAACCAACAGTTCTCGGAGGTTACATTGATGTAGTATATTGTGAAGCTTTTGTTACTGTTGTGAGTGAGAGACCCCGAGCAGCACAATGTTACATATTGTACGTTTAACAAAAAAACATTAAAGTTACACTGCTGCTCAAAAAACACCCCAAAATTCTACACAGACACATAAGAAGGTTGATTTGTTTTCATTCCCTGGTTTAAACAGCTTGATCCCAGAACCACCCTAAACTAAAATAAAAACATATTGCTTTCAGTGCCTTGTAAACTTTGTAAATGGATTATATAGACATTTTGAGCATGTTCAGGCTACTGTCATGATTTAACAATAGTATTTCTTCTCCTGAGGATGTCTGCGACCAGAAACCCTGAGTGCTGCTGACGGAGAGGAAGAGGGATGAAGAGTTTCAGCACTTCTCCAACTCTGCCAGCACACTTTGTAGTTGATCCACGAGCACTGTAGAGGACAGACAGCAGCAGTGTTATTATTATCATTATTCTTAGAGATGTTAGATCAAAATGATCTTTTTCACAATTTGACAAATTATTAAAAAAACTGATTGATTGGTATTTATTATGGTTAAATAATAGTGTGAGGAATAGAGTATAGACCCTTTTACTGTTAGTAAACAGTGTGATGTTTGTTGGTGGGCGGGGCTTAGCTGGAGGCAAAACAGTTCTCCACAGACATTAGCTAGCGCTAGCTAACAAGTCCTGTTGTCTTGTTTTAGACGATGGAGGAAGAGCGTTCATAAATTGGGAGCGCTGTCTGAATGTAGCGTTGGGTTATCCAGAGCAGCGCACTCTCAGAGTGGCAGAGCGCACTCTGGACACTCTGTCTGTGGAGACGGAGCAGCAGAGCGCCGAGCGGAGTGAATGTGTGATTAACTTAACCGTTGGTTCATTCATGTAGAAATATAACGCTGCGTTTCTTCCACCAACAGGGCTCTCATTTTAGTGTAGAGCGTCAGACTGAATTTACCAACGCACCATGTCAGGTCACTCACTCTCCGGGACCGCCAGTGTTACTTGAATAAGTAAACACTGACCAACGGGACCAGACTGGCCGACCCGTATGCTCTCACTCAGTGGATGGATGATGTCACAGGAAGCCAATCTTACAAAGGAGGACCACACTTGTTTGTTTTGCTATGGAAGCTAACGTTAGCTAATGTGCTAAAAAGTTAGCGTTGCAGAGAAATCCAATATTCCTCTTAATCCCTCCCCAGTTTCTGATGAGGTGGACATGATAACCCTTAATACACATAACCTTATTCATCCCTACAACAGGAAATACTTTTTCCCTAACCTGATATGAAGTGTGCGCTGCACATGTGAGCATTTTTGATGATGGCCTCCGTCCAGTCCTTTGGTCTTATCACATTTAACCATAGTTGTCTTTGTTTTTGTTGACGGGCAGTGGCGGCTGGTTTTGAGCCATGACTCCTTCTATTCTGGCTCCCAATAACACAACAAGACAACACACATTTTAACACTCCTATGGAGCCTACAGCCCTGTGGGGGAGAGGCAGGTTTTGCCTCCATCTAACAAACTGACGTCAGTGTGATGTCGGCCCTAAAAGGGTCTATTTGAGCTAACATTAGACTGGATGCTTCCTGACATCATAAACAGTCTTTAAGAATGAACTTTTCCTATTTTGCTATGACAAAAATCACATTTTTCATTCTCCCAAAACATCAACCTTCTACACAAAGAGTTTCATCACTGAAATGTGTTGGCTCACTCATTTATAAGTCAGTCTGGCAGATCCAGCATCTAAATATATACTGAAAGGTATCAGTGGGCGGTGATGGCGGTGATTGTAAGTTACCTCCAGCAGATGGTCTCTGGAAGCTATCATAGTCCCGACAGGAGTTGATCACAAGTTGTAGTCCCTTAGGACATTCGGGGAGCGGCTCCTGATATTTCTCTTTGCCTACTTTCTGATAGATGTCTTGGTTTTCCAAACCTGGAAGAAAAGGCGGACCACATTAAGAACAAAACGTCCAGTTACCAGGAGAAAATGTTGGAATTATACATTTCATCGGGTCCTAGGTCCATTCTCAATGGACCGCAAATGACTCACAAACATGTCAATTTTGTAAAAACAAATTTCATTTTTTTAGAACGGTAAATTTCTAGCACACAGATTTTATTTCCAAGTGCCGTTCCCTGCTATAGATTGAGTGACTAACGAACAGCTATTTGACAGAGACAGCAAACTAGCTCCACAACATGGCCAAACACAAGTATGACGCTGAATATATTAAACTGTGTGGACCTTACACTAATGACTAAGTAGAGATCTGAACCCTGTGACTGGACTAGGTGGGACCCCCTGCTCTAGGTGCTATCACCATGACTCAATCAATGGCAATGTCTGTCTGTTGGTTGTGACATTCATGTTCCCCAGAGGATGAATTTTAATAACTTTGGTGATCCTCTGACATTTCATCCACTGCCATCATCATCAGGTTAACTTTAATTTGTGCGGTACTATAGTTTATGACCAAAAACCTGCAGTATTAATGACATTTCCACCTCCACTGTACTTTGTGCCCACTGTTAATTAGCAAATGTTAGCATGCTAACAAGCCAAGCCAACATGGTGGACAAAATAGACTGCATAAAAAAGTGGATGTAGCCACAGTGACGTAACCCATCAGTTTGTGGATGTCTATTTTGAAGCCTCGCAGTCTGGTCATCACCATCTTTTTTTGGGGGGCCAGATATGACTGTATTTGGATGAGAGGATGGATCTGTCCTATACTAGACATGTTTTCCCCACATATATATAACATGCTAATTTTATTAGCATAAGCCAATAACATTTTACATTCCTCAAATTAGGCTAATGGCGAGCAGATTTTCATCCACTCATTTGAAGCCAGGATAAATCACAAACAAGACTTAAAATATTTTGTGGTGGCTTTATTGTCTTGACAATTTATTGTTTCTTATCTGTTAAAGAAAAGTAAATAAAAGCTGTGTTTCCTCTGAGAGAAATGGTTTTCACTTTATAAAAATAAACAGGAGGTCTGCAGTGGTGTAGGCTTTGTACGCATCTATGCAGAGCCTTACCCGTAGGTGCAGCATCAGTTCAGTGCAGAAGTATAAACCTCACTTAACACTGTTGGCCACGAGGTGTTTGACCTTTAAAAAGAGTTGCGTTGCTCTGGGGTCAATGATGATGTTTTATTAAGGAAGCCATCTATGGTCAACTGGGAAACATTATCAAATGCTTTGGCTCAGATCCCTTTAAATGGACAGTTCTGGTGTGCTGCTGTATGGGCACGTTACACACTGACTTCAACACATAAGGGTGGTTACACAAACCAACAAAAAACACAGGCTACTTGATGGCATTGAGATTTTTCATGCACTCAGCCATGGTGAGCAACCAAGGATTCCTGTTTTTCACAGATGGCTGTCAGAGCTAAAGGAGGCGAGTCCTCGATGCTAAATACAGGAAGTGTGGCGTTGGATATTGATCGTTTTGTTCGGCAGGTACACACCTTCAAAAGGTCTCCTACTGGTTGCAACTTCCCACAGGACGATTCCAAAGCTGAAAGACAACATTTCAAAGTTAGTGATGACTTCTTACCTCCACTCAGAATTGTGTTTTTCTTGGCAGGCGTTACTGAGTCGGTTTTCACATTCATCTGCTGAAGGAGGAAACTTTCTTTGAGCTCACTAAAGGCTCTGACACTCAAAGCCGACGTTCGGCCATCAGTCAAATTTGGGCCATCGGTGAGCATCCATGGCCCTTGCTGCTATGGTGTGTCCCACACTGTTGGCCCTTGTTGGTGTTAATCTGCATTTTTTCCTCTGATTCAGCATGTTGAATTGACGTTGGAGATGGCTTAGCTCGTTGTTAACTGAAATCACTCTGCTTGGCAGTTCAGCTCAGTACACCAGAAGAGAAACAGAAGTGAGGAAAGTAAACAAAGAGCTAAAGTCTAGAGGGAGTCAAACCAAAACAAACTTGCTCCATAAAGTAAAATAATTTTCTTAAGTCACTGAGCTCTTCAGCAGAAATGTTTCCTGATGGTTTGTGTTATTGTTCACTGGCATACAGTAAATATGCTCTGTTCTTTCAACACTGGATTGAGTTGTTAATGTGCTAACTGGCTAACTAGTTTTAAGACGGTTTTTCAGTTTCCCTTTTCGAATGACAAATACAGATTACTGCCGTCTGCTGGTGTTGAGAGTCATTTCCTCTCACGCAGGTGTATAACATACATGCTGGCTGGCTGTTGGTTGAGGTGATGCAGCAGGGAGCTTTTGTCACCACCAGCTCTCTAAAGTCGGTTTAGTGTGTCTAATGCTGCGTTCGTGGAGACATAAAATCCTGCCATGACTTGGCCGACAGACATGACAGACTACATGTTAATCCATGACCAATCATCGCTGGTCATCTTTCACAACGTGTGTGATGTCATGGGGTTATTCTTGTCCTATTTTCATTATTATTACTGTTATTATTTCAGTCACTGTGTCTGTTCATGTGCCAGCTGAAATGTTGTTGCAGTAATTTAAAGTGCCACCAGATGTTGGTTAGTTTTGGTCTCACTCCTTCTCCACTTCAGCTGTTTGTTTACTTTCCTCACTTCTGTTTCTCTTCTCGTGCACTGAGCTGAACTCCCAATCAGAGTGATTTCATTCAATGACGGGCTCCACTGTGTCAAACGTTGATTCAACAAGTTGAATCGGCCAAAAAAAGCTGACAGGGGCAACAGTGCAGGACACACCGCGCCGAAGAGGGCGGCAGACACTTAAAAAAGGCCCAACTTTGACCAACAGCTGATCTTCAGCTTGGTGTATCACATCCTTTAAATCTCAGTTTAACACCTGAACATACCTGCAGGACTTTGTGATATCACTATTATACTGGAACCAATCATTGTAAACCCTTAATAAATGGTGACTTCATATAAAGTAGGCCCACATAATGGAACACCATACAGTGCAGGTTGTGAGCAGCTGAACAGAGGAACTCCTGGTTGGTATCGGACCTGTAAATCTCGCTCTCTTTGCTGTAGCCGAGGTTGATGTCTTTGAGCATTTCAGGAGACGTGTAACTCAGGGTCCTGTCCTTCTCTTTGGTCTTCTTCGGCTTCCTCAGTGATGTCTCAGTTTTTGCCAGTTCAAAACCTCCCAGCTGAAAATGACAACACAGAGATATCCTTCATCTCACACACACAAAAACACACACCAACACCTTAAATCCCGTCAGCAGTTCCAGCAAGCAGTGGTCTCAGTACCTTGACTTCGTCGCCTTCGGTTACCAGGAACTTGCTGCTGGTGATGCATCCATGAACCTTAGATTTTTCTTCAGCCTGGTGCAGTCTAAGACACGACATCATAAACAATAAATAAAACAGACAGAATTTATTTTTAATTTTTTTCTGTATCATCCACTACTGTTACAGGTGAGAGGTGGGTGTTCCCTTTTTCATTCCAGTTTCCTGTGTTTCTTGGAGAAAAAAGGGAGTGCTGCACTGGTTTAAGGCTTTGTGTAGTTGTAAAAAATCAGGTGCTCTTCAAGGATGGGGGCAAAGAGTCACTCAGTGTAAAAGTTCCCAGTACAGGCAGGCAGTCCAAAAATGCATCCGAGGCTCTCTGACTGTAGTTAAAAAGTCCTTTATCAATACATGGATAACCAACGTATTCCAACCAGAGAGTCTTTATCAGGGTGTGAACTTCATTGGTAACAGGTGTGCAATTTAAGGCTGAATCCAAATGTCTCCCCTCTGGACCTGCAGACTGAGCCCTCGTGGGCTTCAGTTGTACATTGTGTGACATATTTACCATCATCACATAAAGTCTGCGAGGGCACAGACTGGCGACTGCTGACAGACTTTGAGACTGTTTTACTTGTTGCCGTTGAAGCGGTCAACTATCGCTGCTGTCATATTCATATATATGTCATATAAGTTGGTGAACAGTACCTACTCATCTGTCCCTGCAGATAACAAGATATAAATACCATGTATACCCTCGCAGACTTTATATGATGACAGTAAATACATCACACTACGTACAACTGAAGTCCGCAGGAACCAGTCTGCAAGTCCAGAGGGTGGACGTTTGGACTTTACACACTGATGAAGACTCGCTAGTTGAAACGCATTGGTTTATCCATGTATTTATAAAGGATTTTTAACTTCAATCAGAGAGCCTCGGATGATTTTTGGACTGCCTGCCTGTACTGTGGACTTGTACATTCAGTGACCTCGCTAGTTGTTGTTTTTTATCTTCCTGTGTTTCTTTTTCAATATTTCTCACCTTTGGCTCCGCCCTCCCTGCTGCTTGCTGTGATGAGTGATCAAGAACACTGCCGTCTAATAATTCATCACGGACGTGGTGGCTACATAAGATTTAGAGTTGGATAAACTTTTACTTGTAACTTTTTTTACTTGTATTTTTACACTGTTGTACTTCTACTTTTACACAGGTTAAAATCTGAGAACTTCTGCCACCGCTGCATGCACATAACAATACTGTGTCCTCCATTATTTAAATGAAACAAACGTATAATATGTGACTGTAGGAGACTGACGCATAGAGTCCCCGTGCTGCGTCCCGACACATGCGAACTTTTGTGATCCAGGACAGGCTGCTACCAGACTTGTCCAGAACTTGACGCAGACTTCCTTTCTCACAGTACTCCATGATGAGGAGGAACTCAGGGTGGGGTCCTACAGGAAGACACAAGGACACGTCACATCACTATCATTTTGAAGGTACAATGATGACGTTTGATGTTTTGTCGTCTACATTCTGCAGTTCTCTCACCGTTTTCGTTCTGAACACAGATGCCAAACATTCGCAGGATGTTGTGCGACTCAAAGCGCTTCATGGTTTCAACCTCCTTTTCGAAAATTTTTCGCACCTCCCTGCATGTGGAGACAGTGTTTCTGTTGGCAATGAATATTTAAGAATGACAGAATCTCACACACTTGTACAAACTGACACACAGGGCTACGTGTTGATACAAAGGTTGAGCTCAGATTTTCATGTCAGCTGGTTTTTCACCCCGCCTTCTAACACGGCTTTCACTTTCCAATATGGTCGGACAACAAATCGCACAAGCTAGGTCTTCTCAAGCACAAGATGACCAACAGTCCCACTGATCCAACGGCAGAAAGCTGTGGAGGGGGTTTAGAAGATATTTGACCATTCAGCGAGCAGTTCTGATGCAGTGTACTGGTGCCTGAAAGGTACAGTGTGCAGGTCACAGTGGCCTCCAGCAGGGAGGTTGCAGAACTTAAACTTCTCCCATGGGCTTAGTTTGTGGGAGAACTACAGTGGCTGATGTGAAAATGCAAATGGCCCCAACTAGAGCCAGTGTTTAGTTTGTCCATTCTGGGCTTCTGTAAAAACAACATGGCGGACTCCTAGGACCTGCTCCGTATGTAGATATAAACTGCTCAGTCTAAAAAAACATGATCAATCAGGTACTTATAAGCTAATGAAACATAGTCATGAATGTTATATTTAATTTCTGCCAATATTCCCCCTTTAATCCTACACACTGGATCTTTAAGTGTAAACAGGGCATGTAGTACAAGGTTGATAACAATTTTGATGCTGCTGATGAAGCAGCAACAGCCTCTAGCCTTAGACCAACAAGACGGACCAATATGGTCTCATCCCAAGTCGTCACATGTCACCGCTTTGCCAGTAACCTTTCACGTCTACATATTAGGTGTTAGGCATCCTGCGTCTAATGTTGATGTCCCAGGATGCCGCTACGTCAACAAAACCAGATGGTAAGGTTTGGTTCTGCATTCAAACAGGAAGCGAACACCAGGCTCTCGGGTCAAAGTCTGGGGTTTGTTGCACCCATCCACCATCCCTCTCGCCTGCCCTACAGGGACTTTCCAGCCCCTTATATTACCAGCGGTGTTTCAACCTGATGCTGTCCGGCGGTGTATCATACCACCGCAACAGATGCTGTCCGACCGCGGTATGAACTCATCCACGTGTCATAATACAAATGCCATCTGGCCAGTCTGCCTCATAATAAAGGAGGGAGGCTTCATCTGGTTTCTTCCTTTTTTTCCTGTTGAATGTTTATTTCGTCCGCCCAGCCTGTTCTCATTTCGAAGTTGTTAAGAACTGCTGCTTTGTCAGTGATTTCAGCGTCAGACACCTAATGTGTGCTCATCTTTTTCCTCTGATCACTTCAGATCCAGACGTTTGGGATGATTTTATCAGAAGCTTAATTATGCACAGAGGTCTCTTTCTCTCCGGAACAAATGGACCAGGTGATTTAAACTAGAAAAACACTTAATAGAGCAGTTTTGCATTAAAAAAAAAAAAAATCTGTGTTTTTGTTACTCTTATGTCGCGGAGGGGCTGCTAACTATGACGGCCGATGCAAAAACACGAATGTCAGTGTTTGGGTTGTCTGCTCTGGGCTACTGTAGAAACATGTTGCTGTTAACATGCCGATCTCCGTAGATGAGGATCTGCTCCCTGTGTAGATATAAACAGCTCATTCTAAAGTAATGGAAACACCACAATTCTCATATCCAGGTGATTATACACTACACACAACATGTTTATAATATTATATTCCATTTAAGCCAATATATATCTCCAGTCAAAAAGGTTTCTGTGTTATAATTCAGTATTGAATGTGGTGCAGACCTTGGGTTGGTGTTCAAAGGGTCAATGTATCTCTTAATGGCCACCGGGAATTTCTTGAACTGTCCTTTGTAGACCTCTGAGGTTTCTGTTGTCATGAAGGGTTTTTTGGATTCTCCGTAGTCCAGCTCGTGTGGTTTGATCATTCGGATGTCTTCATCAATGGCTCTGGGCTTATTCACTGTGAAAACACATGGTCACAGGTCGTGTTTGGTTTGATTACATTAGGTGCAATAACAGTCTTGTAACTTGTCAAACTGTTTTAGTCACTTGGGGGCAGCAGAAACAAGTAGTGAACACAACACTGACACATCATCACCTCCTGAGTCATAATGTTGAACTCATTAGCCAAAGATGTTTTTTGTGTTTGTGTCACCTGATGTGTATCAGGCCAGCATTATCTCTCTCGAGCTCAGACAGAATGACCAGTTAAGAAATATAAACTTGTATTGAAGAGGCTTTTGCACACCAGGATAATCAGCTTCTGTCATCAGGTGCGTTGGCACAGCAGAAAGTCCTTAACATGGAAAGAAGGATTGCCGCACACTGACTTGCACTGACACAACAATGGTTTTTAATGAAAATTTAATTAAAAACCATTGCTGTGTAAGTGAAAGTCAGTGTGCGGGCTTTCCAAGAAATATAAACTTAACATGCTCAAGGCAATTGAATCAGGCTTGTCTGACTAGGTTGGAACTGGTCCACAAACTGGTGTGGAATCCCAGGTATTTAACCTCTGAGGAGGTCGTCACAAGGCCACTGATGTCATTGGTGCGTTAGTGCTCCAAGGTCTGTCAACGGTGGTCATTGAAACTCCTGCTGCAAAGGTGGTCGTTGGGTCGTGGGGGATAGGTGGTGTCCTCCACCTATAATGCTGTCCTTTCGTCCTTGCCCAGGAGATTTAACAGCTTAACCTCTAAAAACAATGGTCTTTCACAAATGGCCTCATGTGACTCTAACGACTAGAACGACCGCTGTTGACACACCATTGGAGCACTAACTCACCAATGACATCACTGGCCTTGTGAAGACCTCCTTAGAGGTTAAATTCCTGGGTTTCCACACCAGTTTGTCAGACTAGTTCCAGCCTAGTCAGACAAGCATGAATTAGGATTTGTCTGGATATGTTTGCACTTTGTTACACCCTCACAGTTAGAAACTCCTCTGTTTGCTGGAGAAACCAAAATGCACAGCACTACTGTGTCTTTTGGGACTGCCCTGTTATTAAAGACTGCCGCAGAGGGATACACAAAGCCCTACAAGATATTTTCAAATGTGCTGTACCACTAGAGAATGGGTTTATATTATATCATCTGGCTTTGAAGAAAGGGTATAATGGCTCCAGTTCCCTGTCAGAAAATCACTGTCTGATGGAAAGGTGAAGCAGTGAACGCACTCTCAATGTGGTGTACACTTATATTGATTTTTTTTAGGTGGCTAAAATACAATTTGTTGCTGCCCCCGTTCACAGCAGTGTATTGCTTCCATGTCAGACTCTGGCCTGCTTCTCCACACTGGGGGCGTGCCGACTGACATCTACAGTAAGTAATACACTTTCTATGTAAATGACCCCGTACACCCCCCTACAAAAATCTAATCTACACCTTTAAGAAGCTGAATCAGCTGCACTCAGGAGAAACAAGAGAAACACACTGTGAGCGACTGGACGGTCTGAGTTTCTTTAGACTTATCTCATCATCTTGTTTTATCCCACATGATGTCAGTGCCATTATTGTGTCTGAGACCAGCAGCAACACATCAGTGTCTCACACAGTCACACTGGCTTATGCTGAGGTGTTTTGGTGTACTCACAGATCGCCACAATCTTTTCCACATTGTTTCTGACGGACTCGAATTCTTTGATCATGGCCTCCATTTTCTCCTGCTGCTCCTTCTGGAACTCCTTGAGCACTGAGGAACAAACAAACACTGATGAAACAAAACCAGACAGACAGACAGACACTGAGTCCAGTCCAACCTTACACAGGGACGGCATTTTACTGAGCACTTCATATCTTCATCTTAGTCTTTGGTTCAGTCAAACTAAAATTACATGACTGATTTTGTCGTGAGAACGTTTCAATGAGGACCTTGAGGGACTACAAGGTTCCTTGAACTCATTCGTGTTTGCTTTCTTGCTGACAAACTGAGTGGAAGTTGATGGCTTCAGAAGTGATACCTGTATAAAGCCCCGTTTCCACAGAGCAGATCAGTTCAGTTCAGTTCAGTTCAGTAGTTTCCGTTCCCACAGTGTAAAGTTGTGGATGGTCCCAACAGAAGCGTTCCTTAGCGTCCCCATGTTTGGTCCCCCCTCTGTTGGGGTACCTAGCACACAGATCTGGTACTAAAAGGTGGAGCTGTGAACACTGCAGTCTGATTGGTCAGTAGAGGACGGTCACTGTGCTCAGGGCTGAGTTGTGTCTGGTTTTGAGGCTCATGTAACCACTGTTCATACTGTGGAGAGTTTTATTAGTAAACTGTTACTATAAAATGAAAGGATGTTTTGCTGCCTCTCACAGCAGCTGGAGTCTGAGAAAAAATAACTTCATTCACTGGGCCGACTGCCGGCAACTTTTAAGGTGGAACGTTAACTTGTAATGTTACTCAATGCATGAGTTGATGACGTGAATCCTTCAAGGTGAAAATGTAATTGATATAAGTGCTACCTTCTTAGCGCACAGTATTTTTTAACCCTTATCTTAAGCTACACCACAGTTTTAATCATCTGAAGAGAATGCACATATGATTTATTTGATGCTCCTGATGTTAATTCCTCTCAACATAAAACTTTTACAGTTTAAAACTGAAACATTTTAAATTTAATCTCATGTATATCGACTGAGTTGCTTCCTTCCTATCATCTTCACTCAACATATTCCACAAAGTCCACGGCACATTCGCTCACATTTCTGCAGCTCGGCGTCATCCTCCTTCCCGTCCACCTCATCCTCTTTGGAGCTCAGTTCGAAGACCTTGCGCAGCATGTTCCCCTGCTCCACCTGCAGAGCCCCAGACAGGACCTGGAAGGCATCATTGAGGCGTCTGTTCACAGTCTTGAACTCGTCTTCGTGGCTGCCAGAGTCCAGAACGCGCCTCACCCAGGTGGCCTTAGTGTACGTCTCGATGAGGTCCTGTGCTAATTTCAGAGTGACGGAGAGTTCCTTGAGGGGTCTCTCCACGTCAGCAGAGATTTGTCCCTGTCCCATCTGTTTGATGGACCTCACCAGCTCCACCAGAGCATTGACCCGGTCGTAAACACGGCGGCAGCGCTTCTTATTGGCCTTTACTTTCTCAACAAGTCCGTAGATCTCTGAGGCGATGGATAAGATGGGCTCTATGACGTCCATGACCAACTGCAGAGAATGAAAAAGGAATAAATCAGAGCTGAAGGCAAATGAATTCAAGTTTAAGCAAATGTTAGTTGATTTAGGTAACTGGAACCAAACTGAGCTGAGGAAGTCTGACTTAAGGGCAGCGATGGAAAATGTACTCACATCACAAGTCAAAGTCTTCAAGTAAAAGCACTTGTTGGGCAGAATGGTCCCTTTCAGAGAGTTACATTATTATTTATATCATATTAGAATATTATTTCTGATGCTTTAACCCTCTGAGACCCACACAGACCCATTTTTATCTTTTTGGGGGAGACAACAATAGATGCCACAGAGAAGTGGTTTACATCATCTGAAAGCTGGGGACATGAAGATTAATTAGAGATGCAGCTCAGCTCTGTGAGTCAAGTTTATCTAGTCATAAATCTGTACTAAACACTGAGTTGTGGTTAGGTGCTATTAAAACGTTGTGGTGGTCCCCAACTGGTGGGTTGTGGTCGAAAAGTGGGTCGCAGGTCCATTCTTAATGGACCTATAGTGACTCACAAACATGTCAAGTTTGTAAAAAAAAAAAAACACATTTTATTTTTAAGTGCAGTGAGTTTTTATTGTGAAGCGCTGTTTCCTGCTGTAGAATGACTGACTACAAACAGCTGCGTGACAGAGACAAAAACTAGCTTGACGACACGGCTAAATGCAAGTATGATGAGGGGTTTTTTTGGGGAGTTTTTCCTTATCAGCTGTGAGGGTCATAAGGACAGAGGGATGTCGTATGCTGTAAAGCCCTGTGAGGCAAATTGTGATTTGTGATATTGGGCTTTATAAATAAAATTGATTGATTGATTGATTGACTGATTGATTGAATGTATTAAAGTGTGTGGACCTTAAAATAAAGACTCAGGAGAAATCTGGACCCCGTGGCTGCACCAGTTGGAAACCACTGGTTTAGAGTGTATAGGGGCTTAGAACATTATGATGGACGCATATATGGAGGCTATTCTCGTGCTGTATGATGTCTCATACGTTGTTGCAGCATCTTTCGGTTTAATGCCATTTGTAACACAGATTTGGATTGCATTGAATCTGAAATGTTAAAATGGTCAAAGATCTAAAATACCACATTAAGACATCTAGACCTTAAGAAACACCATAGAAAAATCCATGCTGTGATTAACTGATAAACTGTACAGTTCGCCCCATAGCGGTGGTCTGATGCCCTCCAGAAGGGGGGATATGGAGTGCAGATGACCTTCTGACTTGACCAAAGTCGGGTGTATAGGGAGAAGCAGAGTTGTTTATCTAAATCCCAGGAAGCAGCAGCTTGAATGATGAATGTGTGTGACTGTGTGTGTATGGGAAAGCTTGCAGGTCTGACACATATTTGTGAACTGATACTGCTCGTTTGTCTCACACTATAAACTGTTATGACGTCCCAGTTCAGCAGCTTTGTGCAAGTCTTTGTCAAAGTCTCTCTTATTTGAAGTCTCGTTTATGCTCAGCTGCTGCTTAGTGTAACAATTATTAATCCAAAGAGAGTGTTGTGAAAATGTTCAGTGACTTTTAATTCAGTCAGTAGGCTGGAAACAAAGGAACTATATCAACACAATAAACAGAGAAAATAAAACCAAAATAAAAAGAAATCAGAGCTTAGATCTGTTGATCCCAGTCTTTGAGTAAACTGACCTCGTCATGAAAACATTTGAACACATGTCAAATCTGAACTTTAATTCTCCGTACAGGACATGCTGGACCTCTTACAGTGTGATGAAAATAGGACGACCGTGAAATTATTCTTTTCTGCGTTTATTGAGTCTGTTCGTTTTTTCAACATTGTCTGTTGGTTTGGAAATCTGAGCCTTAAAAACAAGAACAAGTTGGGAAGAGTGGTGAAGTTGTGCTGTAAGATCACTGGTGTTACTTAAAATAACTTACAGCATCTGTATGAAGAGAGGGTCGCCTCTAAAGCTCGGTCCATTGTCTCAGACTCTCAACATCCCCTCCATGTGGAGTGTCAGTTGCCTCCATCAGTGCGGAGCTTGTGCCTCCCTAAATGCAGCACTAAGTGTTACGGATCATCTTTTGTTCCGTCTGCTGTCACTTCTCTTAACCACTGGTGACCACCTGTTTGTCCATGATTTATCCCTGACAGTGTGTGATTCTGGATTCTGTGCATCTATTTTGTTCTACAGCACAGACCAAATGGTGCTTCTAGAAAGAATATCTGCAGACCTGACTGTGAGAAGTTTTCACTGATATTATTTGTTAAATAGAAAAATGTAAAATATGTCACAGGTTCTCTGTAATTATCAGCACCTGGCTGCGTATTGATCTGGGCTGACACCTTATCAGCACTGAGGTGAACTGAGCTGATGTTATGTGAAGTTATGTGCAGAGAGGATTTCCCACGGGAGCGTCTCCCCTGAAGCCAATCAGGGGCCTCTCTGTAAAGCTGAGCAAGCTTTCAGGTGAGTGATTAGACCGTCCATTAATAATCCATGTTATAACATATCAGTCACAGTCCATCAGTGGTGGAGAAGTATTCAGATCCTTATGTAAAAGTACTAATACCACACTGTAAAAATACTCTGTTACAAGTAAAAGTATGGAAGTATAATCAGAAAAACGTAGTTAGAGTATTTAAAGTATCAAACTGTGACTGTTACATTATTATGATTCTGACTTTAATGTAAAATCAGGATGATGTTGTTGTAGTTGGTTGAAGTGACGCTCATTTTGATCTGCTGATTTTTTTCTCCATTAACTGATTTATTGTGAAAATAGTGAGACATGTTGGTCACAATGATCCAGAGCCCAACGTGACACCTCACATTGTTCAGCCCTTTTAAACAGGAGTTGTGCAAATTTGCAGGAAAGCCCAGTCAGTCTTTTTTCAGCATTGGCAGTATAAAAACAAAATCGGTGAGTGCAGCAAAATGCCGCCTACCTACTTTTGTTTATACAGAATGTTCCTTTTTTGGGTCAATGGGGTGCGTGAGCAAGTAACAAAACGTGTAGCTTAGCTTGTGACTTAAACAGTGACGTGGGAGGGAAGCCGCGGCTGGTCAGTCCTTCGGCAATTCTCTCGTAAGTCGGCCCGTTCTTCACCGTCCCCGTCATCTGACGGTTAATGGCCTCTTCGTTTGCGAGGACAAGGAGGGCGCACAATTCCTTGTCTCCCCAGTTGCTCATCTTTACAGTGTCTGTCAGGTTTGTGTTTCCCTCTTGCTACTAGCTGCTCGCTAATTCCTGCTATCAGCTGTTTCCTGTTTATCCACCGCCAGTGGCTCGCACGTGCGGCGTCATCAACAGCTCCTCCCACAAGTCATCAACAGCTCCTCCCACAAGTCATCAACAGCTCCCCCCGTTGCAGAAGGCCGCCTCAGTCTGTTTAAACTAAAAGGGTTCCACCAATATGTCTACCCTATGAGGCGGAAAATTGGGCACCTCGGATCAACTCGCCACTCCGGCTCTGTGTGTCTAAACGCTCGCAGCTTGCCGGCAAAA